CACACACACACACACACCTCAAGCGGGAGGCTAATTGTTCATTCATAAAGACGATGATACCGAGCGGGAGTGTGAAGGGCCCTCAGCACTGCCGTCTCCGTGGCAACGGGCACTCAAACACTGGCACAAGGGAAACATTACGGGGATTTGAGTGGAAATGAAACCCACTCTTGTGCACACACTTAAGCCCACTCACCTGCAAGCACTGACAGGTATATACACACACACACACACGTAGGTACCTTGCCGAAGGAGCCTTGTCCCAGGACTTTGCGGAGCTCGAACTGTCGTGGGTCGGCCTTCTCTGATCCCTCCTTCACATGGTTAGTGATGTTGATCTCCTTGATTGGCACGTCATCCTGTAACACACACACACACACAACAGTGTCATTATTATGGTCTGGATTTCACACTCTAAAATAAATGAATAATGCTTATTGTCCGGTAACTTTTCTTGGTGAACTCAACCCCTAGTGGCTGCTGTTCCCCTGTTTGGAGATATTATTTACACTTTGAGACAGAAGTTTGCCAACTGGTTGTGTCATTTCTACAATAAAAACAACTGATGACAAAAACAGGCTATTTTGTTGACCTATTTATTAGTTTTGATTGTTAATGTTAACTGCGAAAGTGTGTCGGAGAACCACTATGTTAGACCATTATTGGAGATTATGGACAGAGTGCTGCTTTAAAGTAATATCGGGTTTGTATTGGATGTTTGCACAATGTGCTGAAGGATCTTAACTCACTTATTCCCTGCTGCTTCTCTTTGTCTTAAATGACAATAAACTGTATCAGAAGACATTTGTAGACATCAGTTATTAAGCCGTTCACACCAAAAACAATGATTATAGCGATAACTGTAGCGATATGAGCATCCACACTGTGAAACAAACCAGAAGGTTATGGGTTCACAAAGACGAGAGGAGGTGGGAGAATTAAACTCTCTGCTGTCGACCGACATGATCAGTAACTGATGTTCAGAAACTGAGTATGTCTCAGGTAAAATGACAGATTTTGTGTGCGATTTGAAGCCTTAAATTACAATATTGTCCATTAAGTTGCTCTTTATATTTATAGTTATTGTTACAGTTCTCTTCCTTTAGACTACAGGACCTTGTGACGGGCATTTTGTAGATTAAACCAAGAAAATAATCAGCAGATGAAGTGATAATGGCTGATAAAATACATATACAGATTCACATATATCTAATGTGAGCCTGTCCAAACAACGACTGTTGACTTTCTGCCTTTCAAACTGCACAAAAAGGAATCTGAACGTAAACGTCTCTGCTCTCGAGACAGTTGAAGAAGCTTCATGTGGATGTGAAGACAGAATCTGAGCTCATCGCTCACATTCACTGTTTCACTTTGCACCAAAATCCAAAACAGGAAACAGCAGTGAAAACAGGAAGCGTGACGTAATCTATGTATTGGAAATATCTGTCTAGAAAAAACTAATGACACAAATAAAAATCACATGACCCTGAAGGCTGAATTAAAGTACTTTAAATAACTATACTGACACTAAATGGCCCAAAGTCACCTGGACTCGATCCACTTATCCAGTTGTGGAGGTTGTTTCATTTACTAACCGATACCCCTAATAGCTAAATATTTATTAAGATATATAGATATTAAAGACTTTTACTTTACACATATCTTTACAGTAACAATCCTGAGTGTTCCTAGTGTTCCTAAATCACTGATTCTGCCTCTGTCTGCTTTCCCATCCTGCTGATCATCAGGTTGCTGATCAGGATTCACTGGAACGAAGACGTCGAACCCGAACCAGGAAGAGCAGATCAAAAGTAGATAAAAGTAAGAACTGCGGCGTTGTCCACAAACATTTGGCCACATATAAAGTTTCATATGATCTACTCAAGGAAGTAGAAGCCACACGTATTCCTAAACTACAACAACTTCTCTCTGCAACACTACAAAAACACACAAACAGCTGATTGGAGCAAACTCAGGCACGTTCTCTGTTCTCTCTCTCTTTTCTTTGAAAGGCATTCTGGGAAATGCAGCCAATAAAGCAGCAAGCGAGAGCAGGTGAATCCAAAAGTAAACTACAACATCCAAAGAAAGCGACGTTATCAGCATGTGAGCATATTTTCCTTTGAGTCCAGGCTTCTTCACATCTCAGTGAATCACACAACAGGTTGAGCAGGGTTCCCGAATGTTCGTCATCCGCTCAGTGGGAAATCACACACACACACGCACACGCACAGACACACACGCACAGACACACACACACACACACACACACAGTTGTCATGGAGCCACCCTCGGTACCTGCTTCCCGCTGTAGCAGAGTGACTAATGATGCCATACTGTGTGAGTCTGTTCAGTGACACCATCCCCTCCTTCAAACTCTTTCTAAAGCCAGCCCGCTCTTCTTTGTGTACTCAGGATATTGATGCAGTAAACAGGTGAACGCATCCAGACTGCGTTTCCTCCCGTCACCGCCACTCTCCCTCGCCCTTCCCATCATCCTCTCTGCTCTGCGCTCCATTCTGTTTCTCTTTCTGGCTTTTTTTTTTTTTCACGCCTTCCTCTCACTTCCGCGGCTTCGCTCCCTCCTCCCTCCGTACCTGTAGTTCCCAGGTGGGTGACCTGTTGGCTGCCGGGTGTCCCAGTGCATTGTGGGTCCTGTAGTCCCGACTGCGGATGAGGCTCTGTGGCGCTAACATCCTCCCGTGCATCGACTGCCTGGCTACAGGATGGAGCCGGCGCCGGCTTCTGCTCGTCCCTAACACTTCTTCCTCTCTCTCCCTCTCTCTTAGCCTGTCTACCTCTCTCTCTCTCTCTCCCTCAGAGGAATCCTCGCCTCCCTCCCTCCTTCTCCTCCCTCGTTCCCTCATGCTTCCTCGCCTTTTCTATCTTTATTTGAACCGTTCTCACCTCTCCTCTCTGGTTTGCACCTCTCTCTCCTCCTCTATCTTCCTCATTCCATCTGCATCTTCCTCATGGGAGAAGGTCAGACTGCAGCAGGAGTGTGTGCAGTGGTGGACGTATACGGATAAAAGTACTGTTACCTCACTATAAAATACTCCATTACAACTAAAAGTCAAGCCTTTAAAATGTTACTACAATAAAAGTACGGAGTTATCATACAGCACACTCAGTGTTTTAATGTTGTAGCTGGTTTAAGTGGAGTTTTTATCCACTTAATACACTGATGAGTAGCTTAATCTACAAAATGCATCACATTTCATCAGGTTCATTGAACATTTTAATCTGAAATATATCTACTTATGACAGTTCTCAGATAAATATAGTGGTTTTAAAAAGTAGCAGTGTGTATAGTCAAGTGTAAAGTAGCAGAAACTGAGCTGGTGCAGAAGTAAAAGGTGTTCATAGTATATAGTATTTAAAGTCTGTAATCTTGTTTAATTAGTCTTTGATTAGATATTCCTGATTTAAATCAAACTTTAGACTGTATGTTGTTGAGACAAGGTTCCTGTGCGCCTGTTTGTGCTCAAAAAACGTAAAATTTAAGCAACAAGCCAAGTTTTGTTAAATTAAAATGTTAATATTTCTCAGTGTAAGGTATCAAAACTTATTCTTTTGCAACTTTCAGAGCTGAAAATCAGCGATTATATTACAGAACTACAAAGACAAAATGTACCCTCCACTCTCAGCCACACGCACGCACACAAACATGAGATTTAAACTGCATGTCACCGGCGCCGAGTGCAGAACACCACACCGCCGTATGTAACGGAGCCCCCAGACGCAGCTCGCCACTCAGAGCCACAAACACCTGACAAACCAACAAAAACAGTTTGGACACCGTCAGTGGCTGAAAATAGAGTCTGAAAAGATGAGGAGTTTAGGAATGTTGACATTTCAAATATGTGTGTGTGTGTGT